GTACTGCAGGAAGAAAGCGAAATTTCTGAATGTGGTCAATCAATAGACTTCGAATTGTGCAACGATGACAAACATCAGTTGGAGCACTGCTGGGCGAGGTAGCAGGGAACGCAGAACAGGTGACAGACACCACAGAGCCGCACTAGTTGTCGATTAAACGAACCTCATCATTCTTATCAATTGATCATCTCCCCACATTGCACCACATAATCCGCGCATATCCGGAGCGAAATAGCCTTCAATTCCAGCTTCAAGCGAGGTATCTCCCGGTGGGTCTCCCTTATTTATTAATAATACACACGACATGACAATTTTGTCCAGCATCCTCTGCCGCTCACCATTTCATCCCCTCATTGATTTGTTCATTGAATGACACTGTGTAAGACTCAGCAATCTCGGCTTTGAGCTGCGAAATAGTGCGTGTACACTCCATTGCCGACGTAGCCAACAAACCCTGGCAAAGCAAGGATTGTAATTTCCGCTGACGTTCCATGGCATCCTCTAGATCTTAGACACTCTATCATACGGCTATTTAAACTGAAAACCCCCAGTCCGACAAAGTCCTCTGGTCGATCGCAAATTCTCCAAATACATCGACCTTTGCAAACTGACACTCTACATACCCTGGATTCAGCTTGCACTATCTGTCGCGTTCGACCTCCCGAAATTTCGCATCGGTCGTGCCCACTCTTTTGGCCTTTTTCAAGAGATTCACATCAACTGTCTTCCTGGTTGTCGCAGAAATTTCTTTGCTACTCAGGTTGCCTACAATGAATTTCTGAACTCATTTAAATTTATTCTTCGTAACCTACGAAGACCATCATTGCCCCGCTCAATCATAACTGACGTCTACAAGGATCTGTGAAAAATACGCAAACTACATTTTTTCATCTGAATTTCTAAGCTCCCAAGACCTACGAAAGGTTTCTGCAGTACAAGTTCCTTCCTACGTCATGAGCTATCCTCGCCACCGACAACCGTCTCCGGTCAGCAAGCATTCCGTTGACCCCATGAGAGCATCCACGGGGAATATGACAGTCAGTTCTGACATAGATCCGTACAATATCCCCAGAGTTGCCTATGATGGATACTATTCATCTAGTATTGCAGGAGATCGGAACTTAGAATCGTCTTATAGAAGCTATTACTACCCTGTGCGATCTCCTCGTCCTAATGACGACCGTTCCGTTGACACTCACCCCATTTCGTCATACCGCTTGACGAATCTGCCAATCTCCTCCAGAACCGAGTATGCTGTTCGACCAAGGGGCAATACGTCGTCCGTGGCCGATTCCACTCGCCGCCCTTTAAGTGTCACCATACCATCGCCAAACAGATTGTTTGCTGGGTACGACAGTAGCCGCTCTCCCAGGCCATCATCATACTATGCAGCAACTGATGCAGAGCGATATATTGTACCTGCGTCATCATTGCCTTCCAGACATCGTCGAATATTTAGTTCTGATGACCGAGAAGGTCGATTAACGCTCGATGACAAAGAGGCAACAACTCGTATGGAGCGTGCAAATTATTTAGTTGCGGGGAGGAGCCCGCGAATGGTTTACCCAGTTTCTGCCCCAACAAATACACAACAAAACATTGAACTTGGTGATTCTTATTCATACACAAATCCAGCAGAGCAGTTTTATAGGGACTTTGAGGCCACTAAAGACTATCGACGAGATAATTACGGGAGTCGAAAAACAAGGCCTTTAAGTTTTACTGGCTTGGAACGCGGCCTACCGCAGATTCCTAGAGATTCCAGAGACTCTGGCCCGCCGCCTTCTGCGAGACGATCTGACAGGATTGGAAGAGGGGAGACGCATCGATCATCATCTCAGAAGAGAGAAGGTAGTGTAGCATCCTATACATCTGACATACTCCAGCGGCGCTCCAAGGTCCCCGTCTTCATTCACCAGGACGGAGTCAAGGTTTCAAAACATCCCGAATATAGCGATTCAAGAGAACTCCAGAGCTACCGTTACGATGACGATGCTTCCACAAGTCAAGTTTCTCACCATAGACATCACGCGGAAGACGTGCGATATAATGAAGTTCCCCCGATAGGCACCGAATCCAAAGGCACCGGAGACCTATCAGTCTCCAGCAGCCTTGCGACAGCTGGACTAGCTAGTGGCTACTCGAAAGATTTGCTCAAGGGGCTCGAAGTTGATTTTGGAACTCGGGCTGATGAGCGAAGAGTTCGGGACTCGGTCCGTGGTCCTAGATCAAGCCACAAGAATGGTGAACCTACCAAAGTGCACTCTGAGGGTGAACAAGACATAGACGAGCGGCTCCCAGATAAAGACAGAAGAGTTCACAGACATAGAATCGTCGAACATTCAAGACGGGAACACTCAGAAGGAAATGTTGCCTCCCGTCGCACTCACCATGCCGGCGACTCAGAATATGACTACCACAATTCCAGGCGACAAGAGGGACCATCTCAGCGCGCTTCAGATATGCTTCTCCCGAATGAGCCCATTGTCTCGACCCCGATCGATATTATCTCTGATGAGCGTCAAAGGGAACCCTACCATACTGAATTTATTCGGCCTAGGGAACCCGAGCAACTTCCAAAGGGAATCCTGAAGCCTCCAAAGGATAAGTTCCCTGAAGATCGGACAGCTGTGAGGGAAGGGATCGCGCCGTTAAAAGACACGACGAAAAAGGGCATTCCCAAAGGTGCACGTTGGACCAAGGTAGATCGAAAGCTTGTCACTCCAGCGGCTTTGGAAGGAGAACGTTACGAAGAACGCCCTGATTATATAATTGTTTTAAGGGTCCTTACACTCGAAGAAATTGAGGAGTTCGCAAAGAAATCATCACAAATTAGAGGTATGGTATTTCTGTTCACTGAAAAATTGCTATTCTTCATACTGATAATTGCTAAAGCAGCTAGGTACGAGGCCTATCGCAATGAACGTCGTAGACATCGAGACGATGACGAGCATAGTGAAGAAGATCGCAAACCCCGTCTTGTCATTGAATCATCCACCGAATCAAGGCGACGTTCGCCACCTGATCCTCACCATTCTGAATCCTATAAGTCTCGTGCTCCGCGATCGTAAGAAGTATAAAATGGGCTTGATACATTTCCCGCTAATTAAATTCAAAATTTAATACGTATTGCTGTGACTATATAAATTTTGGATATCCCCCAAAATCTAACTGGTGCTTTCTTATTATTTGATTTCCAAGACACTTCTCAAATAATATCGTTCCTAAATTTGGGAAGGAAGAAACTAAAATCTTTCGATCTTATGTGTGTTGTGTTCTTGCTTCTATCTTCCAAGGAGTTATGTTTTCTACAGATGATGCCACATGCTTTTATACTCGAATTCAAAAGGATGACTGCTACGACGTATGATGTTTTTTGTTATCGTTTTACTTTCTTGGGAAAATTTGCCCACACGGTGGGTTGACTACTACGATTGTGAAGAGGTGCTCTTTCTCGAATTTCAATACCATATCAACGCTATACATCACTGCGGCTTAGATGAAAGAAAGAAATTGTCTTTTCTATATGGGATGCCAACTCGTTTTTCCCTTTAAGATCTATTTATCTGAAAAGATATTCCTATACTGTTTGATTTATTTGCGAATTTTATCTCCCTATAAAAAATACAATTTTACTAATTTACCATTCGTCATTAGCTTGTTAGTTTTCCCTTCTTTCCCGAAGTTCTATACAGCAAATTTCAGCCTTTTGAGCAAGTTATCATGCCACATCACGTTTATCACCGAAAAATGGTTTCCGCAAAATAATCCCCCCCCCCGGCTCCCCCCCTCCCCCGATCCTTTGTTTCTAAATCATTTTAAACTATTGATGTGTCTCAACCTGTTGCCAGCCGAACTATGTTTTTGTCAGAGCAGCTAGGCTTGATAGACCCATTGAAGAACGTTCGGGGCCCATTTTCTGGGTTTCGGTCTCTACCTTCACTCTGTTGTCTGTCAGCATTCAAATTGTGACCCTGCGACATGAGAACGACACTGGCTAGAGAGCGGCACTTCTCTGTTTAACTCCATGACATCCGCGACCGCCGTGTTGTGAGATGAACAATATCTAACCCACTTTAACCTACCCCTGCCAACACAATGTCACCATGGTGCGGGGGATGTGCAAAGAAATGTGATGTGCAAAGAAATGTCAAAAGTGACAGGCAACTTCCTCATCCCGCTACTGCAAAGGCGGCCCAAATAGATTGCCCGGCTTCAAATGTGGATGGCACATATCTGACCCTCTGGACCAATCCACGCAATAATTCGCTCGAAAATTCATACCGCAAAAGGTGCTCTCGTTCTCCCTCTTCATATGACCTCTTCCTGTTGCCACCCTCCCCCCCTTAAACAAAACGAAAATCTCTCCGGTTCGCTAATCTGCAAGAGTTGTTATATTAACTGAGATGACATTTACCTATAACTGATAAATTATTCAATTTCTTTTGCTCTTACAGCATGCAGTTATTATTATCAACTGCCTCTTAGTAATTCTTTATCTTCAGTATTAAGAGTACTGTTAATACTTTTGTCGCCTTAATTTAACATTCATGACCATGTCTCCCCTTCTCTTCATCTCCAATCAGGAGTTTTTGTATCTTCGAGAGCCCAAAGAAGTCGTTCTGCCGGGTTGCGTAGACAGTGCCCTCCATCGCCCAACCAGCCGTTCCTCTTTGAGACCTAATTGAGCCCCTTCTCTCTGGCATGAGTCAAAGTCTATAATTACGGGGTTGTCCCTCCCATCCCTCATGACAGTTGATGGATTAATATCATTATGTATGAGCCCCAAAGTATGCATATGTTTAATGCCGCTCTCAATTCCTTGTAGACAAAGGACCCTGTCAAAGGGAGTTGCCTTCCGTAGCCTCTGTGACAAATTCATAGAATATTTGACAAAACAGAGCCCCGTTATCCTACTATTCTTGGTAATACAACCAAGATACTGAGCAATGTTGGGGTGTGGGTTTCTTCGAAGCACTTCGCACACTTCCACCTCGGCCAATAGCTGACGGCCCGGCTCCAGGGCAGCAGGAGTGTCGCCGTAACATAGAAGACTCGGCTCCTTGATGTAGGAATTCGGAGGTAAGGGATCGGGAGCGGGTGTATAACGAGAATCCATCGGTGGCCAGACATTCTGTGTGAGGATTTTGTTGATCTTTAGCTGACTGATGTCAGCAGGCGAAGAGACATGCCGGTTGGCTCTGGCATAGAAATACTCGTCATCTTCTCGCAAGATCAGCTTTGTTTGGTCGAAGATAAGATCGCCGTCTTGTTCCACGAATACTTACATATCTCCACAGTACACACCTCTAACTCCGTCCGAATTAATTAGACAGTAACATCATATAGATATGGCTGTTTTGCTAGATACTGAATAGTGGTATTGCTTCAATAGTTCTGGGTAATAGCTGGTCCGAAGGAGGAATATGGTGGTCTTGCGGCAGTGACAGCAACTCAGAGACATATATCGCTGCTGGAACCTTATGGCAAAGGATTTTGGGAGCTCCGAAAACTGAAAAAAAGATGGGTGGTTTGGAGGTCACATATAATAGGTAGCTTAAGCGACCACTGGGCCAAAAGAGCTCAATCACCACCAGCGCCATGATGGTATAGAGGGCACAAATCACCCAATCCGATCCCTCTATTAAATGATCCCATCTTCAGAATTGGCCTTTGGTGTAGTGGGTATGCCCTTGGATGGTGTTCAACACATAGCCAGGCGCAAATGGTGTGTCGTAGTTGTTGAGACCGGAAACTCCCCAGTACATCAAGGTCTTACCAGAGGACCTTCCCGGAGTAGACTGTTCCTCAGATTTCCATCTCTTCATCGCTAATCGACAGTAACTGACCGTAGGCTGGCGCTCTACTCGCAATATCATCGGTCACGTGGTTTAACGAGCCCTACCTTCCGAGATGCAAGGGCAACAAGGTATTTCCACATTTATCTGAGTCCTGCGGCCTATATCAAAAATTCCAGATTTATTTTGCATACGTAAGAATACATATGCGTATGGAGGACGACATGTAACGTCCAACAATCGGTTGCACAGCAGCAAATCAACGTAGATGCTTAGGAATAATATTTCCAGCATCACGAGCTTTTGAGGATGACTACACCATGGAGTCCGTCTTTTGAATGGACTGTTTGCCCATTGCAAGAATGTCATTATTAAATAGTATTATTGCTACCCAACGCCACCTGCTCGATATCGAGTAAGGAGACTTATTATTAACTTTGACTAGTTTTTTTTCCATTTCATCCTTGGAAGGTCCATGAGCCTGAAAATCCATGGATCGTTCAGCTCCACAGCAGCTACATAGTGTGATCTGTACAACTAGCAGATGTGCTGCTGTCCACTGGAATGTATAATAAAATCAATGGGATTTCAGCTATCGGGAATCAAAGGACAACTCAACCAATTTCTGGTTCAGCTTTATAGATTTGGGCCTCGGATATCTGAGGTGAACATATGCATGTGCTTGTGCTAGAGCAAGTGGTCGAATCTTCTGGGATGTCGCGTGGAAGCAAGGGTGGATATATTTCGTCCACTTATGATAGTTAGCTCAAATGATAAAACCCCCATCAAAAGAAAGGCATCTATTCCGTATATTTGGCGAAAGATACTCACCCTCCAGAGACACCAACATGGCAAGCTGGGCTGCACTCTCTGATGGAAAGGAATAATATTTTTGGGAAACAACATAACTCCGACGAGGGGTTTGTTTACCCATTGACACTTTAGATAGTAAAGGTACTAGGCATGTCTTGATAACTGCGGCCTTGATCGGCTTTTTGCTGAGTACGTGCTGTTGTTGATATTCGGAGTTATTGATTCGAAGCTTCGTATTCTCACTAGTTTGAACGAATGGATAACTCTGTAGATTTTAGATGCAGGTATGCGCCGTTCGACCTCGGCAGAAATGAAAGAGGATGGATACTTAATACAACGATGCAGATAACCGCATCTGTTTATTCAACAGAGAATGTTCAAGAGAAAAGGTAATCAATTTCATATCTGGATTGATGTGGAACTCTTGCAAGTGGTTCGTGAAAATATGTCGGTGTCAGGGACAGCGGTGATTCAAACAAACTGGCATGCAACTCAGTTTGAGATTGAATGTTATCTTTCAAGAGTGAGGAATTGGATGCCGTGCGAAGCCATTTTGTGGTTTGGAAAACAGCCCGGACTCCAAGCCCTCGTAGCAATGTTCTTGACCGCATCCCATCGAATTCTAGCCTTCAGTAGGATGCAGAATGATTCCGTCCTGTTCCGGACACTAAAAACGAACTACTGGTATGCTGTAGTAGTGTGTGCTTTTGTACTCCCAAATTGGCTTTCAAAAGATACCACCGATTATGATGGATGAAGAGGCTGTTTTTGCAAAGGTATGAGGGGAAATCGAGAAAGCCCATTTCCATATGCTCTAAAACGTGTTTCCTCTCTTTTCAATGCTCCGCGCTCTCGATTGAACTGGGCGAATATATCTCTGTCTCTTCTGTAAGGCTTGCTTTGAGGCCCAAGGACAACCCGAGTGGTAGTGCTCCGTAGCTTCGTAGCTTGGAAAGATCTAAGTGGCCCTGCCGAGTGTTGGACAAGGAATCAGCGGGAAGCCAGGGATTATTGTCAAGTCATTCCGAACTTTGGTCCAAGAATGCGCCAAGGGAACTTGGCAGTCCTCGTTCGCCAAATCTAAATCTGTCTCCAGAAGTCTGTATCAAATTTGCATGCGTCCATCTCTGCCCAACCCATGTAACCTTATGGATGCATGCTGGAGGAGGAAGAGCAGGCAGCTGCATCTTGCTGTGTCGAATCAAAAACACAATAACGGGGATGACATTGCTTTTCCATAAGTACTTTTTAATCCTTTGCCCCATGCTTATTTCCACCACCGGCCCTCTGTCCATTTTTCACGTCCTGGAGGAAAACCGAAATCAAGATGTCCCAGCTCCTTCGCTCTGATTGTGTCTATCAAGATCGCATAGGCTTGGGATTCCTATTGCCCTTCGCCTTTTTCCTTTGGAAAAGAATGGACTTGGAAATTGTTCACATCCCAGAAACAGATGTCTGCTTCATGATTCCAGAACAGGCTTTTTCAGAACAGTCACATTTCGCAGGAAGTCAGACGGGCGGATGGACTGCGTAAGTCGCATCGTGTTAGAATGGAATTAGGACGTGGCACCAGGTCACAATGTGTTAAAATCCAGGTACGAGCGAGGATTTCCTTGGGGAAAGAAAACGTCTGGGCAATTTGGTGGCACCTTTATCTTTCTTTCTCTTTTAGAAATGGTCGTTAAGAGATATTAGCGGGAGTCTGCGAATTGGATATCAAGGTCTATTATTGTATTTCTCATCCATATTGTCTGGAGTTATGACATGACTTGCAGCTCCATCTTCGGCCTCAATATTGTCCTTGAATGATATTCCATATAAATTCATGTCCGTGACCTACACCCACTATTATACATAGAAATGTACAGAGAGTTTATGGATGAACACGCGGGTTGGTAAAACACTTCTGGAAGTATTTTGAACCACTCAGCCCAATTAATTCTCCGCAGTGTTCTCCACCCAAGGCCAGCAGCCAGTGGGTACCCCATACAATTTCCAATTTTTTACGCATCAGGGGGATGGAAATACAACTGAAGCTCTAAACCAAATACTTGTTAGTATGTGAAAAGGAAAGCAGGAGTCTGGATGTATATTCCTATTCTTTCATTGTTGCTGCTTTTCACCTCTTGGCAAAAAGCAATAAACCACCTGCTCTGTATACGATCAGCGCTAAACGTTATGCAAGTCATGCCCTGAACCCAGAAAAGAGAAATCCACCCATTTTCCAACCTAAATAAGCAATCAGTGTATGATTTTTTGAAAAGAAGGGGGGGGGGCAGAGAAAGAAGAGACTGCCTGCCTCTTGGGTCAGTATTTCACCTCGAAAAATACCATTCATGTCTGGTCATATAAAATAAACGAGATTTCAGATCCCGTTATCTGTCGAATTAACTTCTCTGGCGTACCTATAATGAGTG